CAGGGCTCAGCTGGGTGGCCCTCCTCACTGGGGGCTGCAACTTGGCTCCAGGCTGGCCCGGGAGCCACCCCCTTCCCCCCTCCCCATTTCCCAAGACGTTGCCTCACTGCAAACCAGGCTAGAATCAGGATGGGGGGTAGGGCTGTCCTTCAGCATAGGTTGAGCTGCGAGGGCCAGACCCTAAGTCCAGTTCACGCAGGCCCTCGGCCCCACCTCCCTGGCCCTGCCCCTACCCAGACCCCGCCCCAACCTGTGCGCTGGCGGTGACGTCCTCGCGCTCCTGCGCAGTCATGGCGTCCAGTACGTCCATCGGGTCGCGCTCGCAGGGGTCCTGCAGCCCGGGCCCGTCTTTGGGGGGTGGGAGGGGGGCGGGCATCAGAGAAGAAAGGACTGGTGAGGTACATCTCCACGGCCGTCACCTAGAACTGAGTACGGGGTCCTGAACTGACCCTGGTGCGTGGCCTTCTCAAAAGCCCCTGCCACCCGTCATCACACAGCGCCACTTCCGGTGCGGACTCTGAGACGTTCCCGTTGGTAGGGGGTCCCCTGAGCGACCCCTGGGGCAGAGGACAAATGCCCACAACCTTCGAGAGCCTGCCGGTCTTTACAGAAGCCCCCTCACTGCCTCCTGGTTCTCCCACAGAGCGGCCGTGGGCTTGAACGGCTGCCCTTGCCATGAGCGACAGAGTGCTTAACAGTTGCGCCACCAGGGTGCCATCATGAGCTGCTGCTGTCTGTGGCTCCGAGTTGCTTCAGGCTCGGGGGCCCACAGGGTTTTCGAGGACGCAGGTCACCAGGCCTTGCTTGCGAGGTGCCTCTGGGTGGGTGCTGACTAGCAGCCTCACCAGGCACTGCCCAAGGGCGCACACTGAAGTTTTATCCTCAGACACTGGCTCGGATGACGCCATTTAGAACAAACCAAACACCATCTCAGGTGCAGGAGAGGCTAGCTTCCCGCGCCCATCTCCAGGGGCGGGGATCCCCGTGTGGGAGGAAGGACACGAGGCGTCATGCTGTCCACCACATTCTGGAAAGGCTGGGGCAGTCTCTGCCTGTGGCCACCAGGAAGCCGCCCCTCTGCTAATGGGCCTGGCTGGCCCTTTGTGGCTCCCGATGGCGTCCCCTCTTGTCTAGCCACGCCAACCGTGCCTGGCCCACTCCCTTCGGTGATGGGGGGACCTCTTTGGCCCTGAGCGGGCTGCGTGGTGACGTGTTTCTACGCACTGTGCCCGTGCCCAGTGGCCGCGTGCATGCGCGCCCCTGGACTGACCTGTTAGGAGCGCCCCTGTGGCCACGCACTCCAGGACCCTCCTCATGGCGTCCCCGGGGCTCAGGGGCCCCACAGCACTGCTCAGCGCCTTCTCCACCAATAGCTCCATCGCCTGGGGCGGCAGGGGTGGGGGGTGGGGTGGGAAACAGAGCACCTGAGCTCTAATGCTACAGGCAAAGCCAGCCTCCCTCCACTCCAGGGACCACTTCACATGCCGAGCCCCAAGGGGATTCTCCATCCCTACCCCCTCTCAGCT